CGTTTGAGGGGCATCCTGCGAACATGATGCCCCCTCAGAAGGCTCTCGTCTGGGGCCCCAGAGGAGCAGAACCTCCAACTTCACTGACGCGTGCCCATGACCCTGGCCCTGGCCCTGGCCTCAGTCCTCACCAGCATCAAGGGAGGGTTGGGGCCGGGCCCTAGGTGGTGAGAAGGGGTCCTTCCACTTAGCGACTCCTCCTTGGACTCCACTGGGCCCTTCACGACCCCTGGCTGTTTCCCTGCGCCCCTCTCCTCGCCTTGTACGGAGTCACCCATGGAGCACAGGTTCACGCTGTACAAGGCGAGTGCTACAGAATTCAATGAGATAGGGCCTAGCCCCCCTTTCTGAATGATAAGACCACCACCTCCCCACTCCCCCACCTCCTCCCACGCCCCTCCCACAGGTAACCACCCTACACAGTGTGGCATTCTGGGGGAAGCCCAGAGTAGTTAGTTGAAGAACAGGGGCTCTGAACCAGGCCATCTGGATCAAAGCTCCATCCTCCTGCTTGTCAGCTGTGCAGACCTGAGTGAGTGACTCAGCCTCTCTGTGCTGCGTCCTCCTGGAAAGTGGGGACAGCAATGGCCCCCCTGCGAGGGTTCCTGCGAAGAACAGGGGTCCGGCGGGGAAGATCACACAGACCAGCTCTGATCTGGGATAAGCATTCAACACTTAGCTTCTGGGTGACAATCCTTCCAAAGGAGCCGTGATGGTATAGTGGCTTCCACGTTAGGCTGCTCACTGAAAGGTCATCCGCTGTAAACGACCAGCTGAGAGAAAGAGGAGGCTTGGTGCAGAAGCCCCCAGGGGTAGTTCGACCCTGTCCTACAGGGTCGCTCTGAGTCCGCATCGATGGCGGTGAGTTTGGCTGTCTTTGTTGGCTTTCTTGGCGATGGGTCCGTGAGAAGCTGGGGCGTCACCAGCCCTGACAATGGGGGGTGATCTGGGGGAGCCTACCTCTGCCTTGCCCTGCCACCGGAGCTGCCCTCTGCAGAGAGGACAGGAATCTCCCTGTCTCAGCTCTCTGGCATCCTCCCCTAAGGCGGTGGTTATTGGACAGCCCATGCCCATTTTTACAAATGAGGAAACTGAGGCTGGGAGAGGAGGCAGAGCCTCTGCAGGGTGGCCCTGTCCACGAGAGGCCCCGAGCATGGTCTAGCCCCAGCTCCTCTCACGGCGAGGCCAGCGCTGGCCCGATCCCCCAACAGGCACTTGGCCTTTTGTTAAGGAGACAAGGGGCTCGTTTTCGACCGGCCCTCCCCATGCCGGCTGGCACTGCCAGGCCCGGGGCCACCCCTGCCTCCTCCCACCAGGGCCTAACTGAAGTCAGATTGTTTTCCCCCAGGGGAGGGGTCCCCCAGCTCTCTGTGTGTGTGCGGGGGCGCAGCTGCGAGGGGCAGGGTCAGCAGGCTGGGCTGGAGCGCTAGTGTCTGTGGTGGGCAGTGGAGGGGTGGGCAGGACAGGGTACCCTCTCTGTGTAGGAGTCCTGGGTAGAGGGGTGGGTGAAAGTGTGAGCAGAGGCCGCAGGCAGCTGTGTCTGTGCCGCAGGCTGGGTGACGTGAGGGCACAGAGGGTCCTTTTGCCCTGGGGACCATTGTGAGGTGGGCGAAGAGACGTGGCTTAGAGAAGATAGACGAAGGAGGAAGGCAGGCCAAGTGAGGCCCCTGAGTAATTGACTCTGGGAGGGGGTGGCTCCCCATGTTGTGAAGGGCCTGGTGGGGCGTGGGGTAAGTGTCGAGCCTCTAACCACTAGGTCAGTGGTTGCAGCCCACGAGCGGCTCCACAGGAGAGAGGAGACGGACTGCTCTCATGAGCGTGGCCCCTGTGGAGACCCCGTGGAGTGGGTTTCCTCTGCTCTGCAGGATCACCATGCATCGGACCCCACCCGACGGCTGTGGGTTTTCAGGGTAGCCCTCTGTGGAAGAAGCTTGGTTGGGGGTCTGGAAGCTTAGGCTCCATTCCTGAGCCCCAAACCTCCAATCCGGACAAGCAACTTGGGACAAGCTCCTTCCAATTTTTCACAGAGACACCGTGTCTCGGGGTCCTCCTGAACACCGACTGGGGAGCCCCTCCCATTGGCTTCTTCACCACTGCCGTGTCTCCATTCCTCCTTGGCCGTAAGAACCCCAAGAACCCCAGAGCCGCGATCTTATTCTGACCCCGGTGACAGAGTGGAGCTGCTCCCTAGGACTTCTGAGGCTGAGAATCGCTAGGGAGGCAGACAGCCTCCATGTTCTCCCTGGGAGCGGCCGGTGGGTTCAAACTGCTGACCTTTCGGTTGGCAGCCCCACGTGTCACCCACTCTACCACAGGGCTTCTCTCTTACTACCCATGGAGAATCATAAGCAAAAGTCCTCCGCGGGGCTGTTTGAAGTCCAAGGGCTTGGCCAGCACGCTGGCTGCACGCTGGCCGCTGCCAGGGCGTGGTTTTGGACCCAGGACTCATTTCTTTGCTTTTAGGACTTCCAGTGGCTGTCCCGTGCGCTCTGCGGGTCCTGCTCACTCCCTGTCTGGCCTTCCCGAGCACGTGTCAGCCTGCGCTGCTTCCCTCTGCCAGCCCCAGAGCCCAGGGTCCCTCCTGGGGCCTCGGACCACGGCTCCCTGACCAGGACAGTTTTGTGCTGAACGGCTGCGGCTCTGTGAGAGAGATGTAATGTCCTCACCCACTCTTGGAAGGGAGCCTGGTGGCCGACAGTTAAGGCTCCATCGCTAACCAAAAGGCTGGCCGTCAGAACCCACCCCGCTGCAGAAAGGCCTGGAGGTCTGCTGCCGCAAAGATGCAAAACGAGTCGATGCCGACTCACGGCGACCCCGTAGGACAGGGTGAATTCCCAGACTGCCACTCTCCGTGGGAGTGGCAAGCCCCGTCTTTCTCCCATGGAGTGACTGGTGGCTTCGAACCGTTGACCTTACAATTAGCAGCCTAACTCGTGATCACTACCTCACCAGGGCTCCTTAGTCCATTAAGATGACAGCCTCTAAAACCCTTGGAAGGGGTTCTATTCTACCACACGGGACACTAGGGGCTGACTGGACTCCAAGATGCCTAATCATCACCAACTCTTTGAAGTGGAATCCCTTGCTAATGAGGAAACGGAGGCTCCTAGAGGTTAAGGGACTTGCCTAAGGTCACAGGGCAGACAGGTGGCTGAGTGGGGTTCAAGTCCACATCCATTCCGCTCTCTAACCCTTCCTGATGCACAGCGCCTACCTAGCATCTCACAATCAGTAAAAAGCAAACAAACAACCCCCTGGCCATCGAGTCACCGCTGACTCACAGTGACCCTCGAGGAGGGCGTAGAACTGCCCCGGGGGGGTTCCGAGACTCACTTTGTACAGGAGTAGGAAGCCTCTTCTTTCTCCCAAGGAGTGGCTGGTGGTTTTGAACTGCTGACCTTGGGGTTCTCAGTCCAGATGCATAATCACTCTGCCACCAGGGCTCCCACAAAGCCACGCTGCTCTTGTAGTGCTCATCCAGCCCTTGCCTGCCCCCTGGTGGGGTCTGGAGCATCCCTAGGGATCCCGCATCACCCAGAAAGCCCCAGCACCCGCCGCCAGAAGGGACATCTTCACCTGCCTGGTCCAGCCCTTCAATTTGTACATGGGGAGACTGAGGCTCAAGGAGGGGGCAGGGCTTAGGCGAGGTCACTGAGTGAGCCAATTCTGACCTCCCACCTGGTAGGCTTGGGAACCCAAGGCCCTCTTTTTCTTCTGAGACCCCTGGGTGGTGGGCAGCCCTTCGTGGGCCCTGGCAGGATGGGGCTCTCAGAGCGGTCCCCGTGGGTACCAGGTTGGCATTACTGTGGACTTGACTTCCAGGTTTCCAGACCGTAGACCCTGCAAGCTCAGGGACTCCGTGCTGTGGCCCCGGTGCCGGGGTGCCCAGGGTCATTCACGTCACACATTTACTGACCATCTGTTCCTTGCTGAGGAGCCCTGGTGACATTGTGGCTATGTGTTGGACTGCAATCACAAGGTCAGCAGTTTGAAACCACCAGCTGCCCTGTGGGCGAAAGACAGGCCTTTCCGTACAGTGACAGTGTCGGAACCCCCGGGGCAGTTCGACGCCGTCCTCGAGGGTCACTGTGAGTCGGCGGTGACTCGATGGCCGTGGGGTTTGTTTGTTTGCTTTTCACTGATTGTGAGATGCTAGGTAGGCGCTGCTGCGCTAGAGGCTGCGGGAGGAGGTGCAGCAGCGAGCAGGACAGGCCCCTTCCTGAGGGGAGCTTGCAATCGGGTGGAGAGGGGACAGCTCACGAGCGAGCTGAGGGATACATGCATAGTGTTGGAGATGGTGATACACGATGGGCCAGGTGGACCTGTGTGTACGCGTATGGGTGTGAGATGGGGGTGGGCAGGGTCTTGACATTTTCCATAGGGTGCTCACAGACTGCTTTCTTAGATGCTAAGAAGGGGACCCCTGAGCCGTGAAGGGGGTGAAGGGCTGGAGGGGTATTCCAGGCTGAGGGAGCAGCAAGTGGCAAGGCCTTGAAGGGGGAGCCCAGCGAGTGTGTCTGACGGGGTGCTGAGAGGCCGAGCAGTGGGTGGGGCGAATCACAGTGGGCCTGTTAGGCCAGGGAAAGGACTTTTTTGGCTTGAACAGAGTCAGGGGGAGCCAGGGAGGGTCAGGGCAGAGGCGGGGTGCGCTGTGACCCGGCTGCCCCAGGTGCTGGAGCAGGACATTAGGTACTGATCTGAGGATAGGTGGAATGTTGTGGAGGCAGACAGAAGGCCGGGCCACAGGGTGCCTTGGAGGGTGGCCGGGTTCATGCGGTGACAGTGGTGGGGAGCGAACCCTGAACCTTGGGGGCTGACCAAATGATAGGAGTGGAGAAGAGGGGGCTCCTTTTCTGGCCCAGGGACCAAGAACCCTGGATTCAAGTCAAGTCTTGTCACACACGAGCTCGGGAACTTGGGGCCAATCCCTCCTTTCTCGGCATGCCCCCTGTACAACGGGCACAATCCCACTGGCCCTGCCCCCTCCCACCAGACCCCTCGTCCACAGGGAGCCCGGGCCAGCAGCGGCCATGGCTTCGCGCATCGGGCTGCGCATGCAGCTGATGCGGGAGCAGGCGCAGCAGGAGGAGCAGCGGGAGCGCATGCAGCAGCAGGCCGTCATGCATTACATGCAGCAGCAGCAGCAACAGCAGCAGCAACAGCAACAACAGCAGCAACAGCAGCAGCAGCAGCTAGGGGGCCCACCCACCCCGGCCATCAACACTCCTGTCCAGTTCCAGTCCCCACCACCCGTGCCTGGGGAGGTGCTGAAGGTAAGTTCTGCCCTTCGGCCTGCCCCATGGGTCCCAACCTCCCCTCCACCACTAGAACCTTGACTTCCCCCCTCTCAGGTGCAGTCCTACCTGGAGAACCCCACCTCCTACCACCTGCAGCAGTCCCGGGACCAGAAGGTGCGGGAGTACCTGTCGGAGACCTATGGGAACAAGTTTGCCGCCCACATCAGCCCAGCCCAGGGCTCCCCAAAGCCCCCGCCCGCTGCCTCCCCAGGGGTGCGGGCCAGCCACGTGGTGTCCTCCTCGGCCGGCAACAGTGCACCCAACAGTCCGATGGCCATGCTGCACATCAGCTCCAATCCTGAGCGGGAGGCAAGTGAGGGGCTCCCCAGGGAGGAGAGAATGCTGTCCTCAGGGAGCCCCGGGCTGTGGGGCACACAGTCCTGTGCTCAGGGAGCCCCGGGCTGCGGGGAGATCAAGCCCAGTTCTCAGGGATCTTCAATATGAGGGGAGACACAGCCCTGTCTTTAGGGAGCCCCAGTCTGTGGGGGGACACAGCCCTGTCTTTAGGGAGCCCCAGTCTATGGGGGGACACAGTCCTGCCCTCAGGGAGCCCCAGGCTGTGGGGAGATCCAGCCCAGTTCTTGGGGATCTTCAATATGAGGGAAGGCACAGCCCTGTCTTTAGGGAGCCCCAGGCTGTGGGTTTGGGGGGACACAGTCCTGTGCTCAGGGAGCCCCAGGCTGTGGGAGGACATAGGCCATTGCTCACAGAAACCTAGTCTCACAGAGGAAAAAAAAGTATATTCATCGTAATAAAACAAACTCCTCTTGTCCCATTTCTCTCCTAAAGAGAGATACATGTCTTATTAGCAAAAAAATCTTATTTAAAGGAGGCTAAGCCAAAGGAAGGAAGACGTAACCACCTCCGCCCTGTTACTGAGAGGCGGCCACTCTCACTCCCTCGGGAAACAGGCTGCCCTTCTCCCTCTGGTGCCTGCATGTCCTGGTGTCTGCTGACCATGGGCTCTGTCTATCAGGCACCAGGAGACTCCTATAAGAAAGTGGCCCACCTGCTGAGCCGCGTCTGGCCCAGGCTCCAGGGCTGTGTCCCGGAGCCGAGTGGACTGGGTGGGGTGAGTCTCCCCTCCCTGTGTGGCTGCCCCCTGCCCCCACCAAGAAGGACTGCCTTCTCCTTTCAGTTTGATGATGTCATCGACAACATTATGCGTCTGGACGATGTCCTGGGCTACATCAACCCCGAGATTCAGATGCCCAACACGGTATTGCTGGCTGGCCTGGGCGGGTGTTCCAGTTGAAGTGGGTGGGGTGGGGGCAGTGGCAGAGGTGAAGGCACCCCCAGTCAAAGGTGTGAGGAGGGTGAGGGCCGGGCAGGAAGGCGATTCAGGAAAGCAGCTGTGCTGTGACCCTGGGGCATGATGGGCAGTGGGGGAAGGCTTCCTGGGGCTGGGGGCAGGTGAGGAGGTGCCAGTGCTGGCATAAATATGTCCACAGGAAGGCTGGGCCTGTGAGTTCCTTTAGGGGGCTAGGACCCCCACCCCCTTCTCTGCCAAGCCTAGGACCGCTCCCCTTACACCTCCTGGAGGTGACGAGGTGCCCGACAGGTGTGAGGAGCTCCGTGTGGGAATCCAGAAGCCTGGCTTCAGGCTTTTGCTCTGACCTTGGGGAATCCCACAACCACTCTGAACCTCAGTGTCCCAGCTGCAAAATGGGGCGACGCCAACTTCCCCACAGGATTGCGGGTATGGCGGGTTCAATAAGTGACAGCCACTATCGTGTCTGGGACTTTAGAAGAGTCTTTAACTGGACTGCAGGAGTCCAAAGTGATCCTTTAGACCGCAGTCTGGAGTGGCAGTGACAGCCAGCTTATGTGGGCAGAAGACCATTTGTCAGGGACGTTCCTATCGAGTGGGCAGGTATGACAAAGGCAACGAGCAAAATGAATGCTATCATCCTTTCGAGCCAGTAAGCGCTGCAGGGTGCAGGATTGATTCTCCCATCCGAAAGGAACACTATTAAACAATAACAAGTTTAATCACAACATTCAGATTACAACATCAAAAGGAATCCTATTGAAGCATAACGAGATCCATTACAACGTCCTGATCGTGGGAACATAGGGGTGCATTCTAAAATCAATCACTAGCCGGACTTTCCGAGACGGGAGGGGACGGAGGCGGGTCATTCAGCCGGCAACAAGATGGGGTCACCTTGGTCAGTCTGGCTCAGGGGAAGACTACAAGAGGCAAGAAACTGCAGGCCGCTCAGGGTGAGGGGTATCTTCACGGAACAGGTGGGACTGCTGGATGCCTTGGCACCCCTGGTGGCACAGTGGGTCGAGTGTCGGTTTGCTAATCAAAGAGTTGGCAGCTAGAACCCCAGCTCACCTGAGGGGCAGGTGGGGAAGTTTGAGCCTGGGAAGACTTGCGGCCTTAAAAAAGGATGATGGCAACATCGGTACAGATGTGCTGGATACAATGGATGTACGGCTTGTTATAAGAGCTGTCAGAGCCCCCAATACAATGCTCTTTTAATAATAACAATGATAAAAGACTTGCAGCCTGAGAAACATGAGGGCGCAATTCCACTCTGTCCTGGAGGCTAGTGAGGAGTCGGACTCGGTGCAGCGGCTGAGGGTGGGGACCTGAACTGCTGGCTCTTGCCTGTCATGCCCTGCCCCTGGCCCCCTAGCCCTGACATCAAAGGCCCCAGTTCCTGTGGTGGGGAGCCAACCATGAATTCCCCCCACCCACCCGCCCCCCTGCTCGGTAGGAATGACTGGAACCAGTTGGCTGTGAAGGCTGCAGCCGCCTGGACAGCCGGGCTAGGGGGCTAGGGCTTGCGCGATGCACAGTTGGGGGTCTGTGGTTCTCTCATGAGTGTGCCTGTGGCAGGAGCTGGCAGACCTGTCCAGCCCCACCTCTGTCACTCTCGGGCCCTGCCCTCACCCTACTGGCAGCAGCCCCTTGCTCCGTGTCCTGGCCTTTGCAACCAGCCAAGGCATCCAGGAGCCAGTGGCCCCTCCCGGCCCTGCCCTCACCCGCTCCAGACCTCTGCCCCATGCGTGGGTCAGAGCAGAACTGGGCTCCACAGGGAGTTTGCTCAGCAGCTAATTTTCCAGACAGATTCACCAGGCCTTTCTTCCTTCCGGGGTGCCTCTGGGTGGACCCCCAACCCCCAACCTTCTTTCAGCAGAGAAGCATCTCAACCCTTTGGGAGACCCAGGGACCCCACCGCGTGGTACCCTCCCCTGCCTATTCACCTGCCCCACATCTCTGCCCAGGGTTCAGTCCTAGTTCCTGGTCCTCCAGGAAGCATTCCAGAAATTCCCAAATGGATTAGGGCCCCCCACCACCCCCGGGCTTCCGTCATGCCTGGTGCCTGGTCCTGTCATGTTCTTATCATCCGTCATGCCTGGTGCCTGGTCCTGTCATGTTCTTATCATCCGTCATGCCTGGTGCCTGGTCCTGTCATGTTCTTATCACCGGTTTGGGGAAAGAGGCGATCAGTCCTAAGGGCAGGGCTGCATCTGTTCTGGGCTTGGCGGTTGCCGGGGCCCATGGTGAACTCTGGTGCCTGCAGGGCTGGCTGCCTCCCTGCCAAGGAGTTGATGCCGACTCACAGCGACCCCACAGGGCAGGGGAGGGCAGAGCTGCCCCTGTGAGTGTCTGAGACTGTCACCGTGTACGGGAGTAGAAAGCGCTTTCTCTCATGGAGTAGCTGGTGGTTTCGAACTGTGGATCTTGCGGTTAGCAGCCCGACTCTTAACCACGGCACTGCCAGGGCTCCTGGAGCTGGCTGTAGACCTTGTAAGACCTCGACGGGGGCCTGTTAGACACCTGCACAGCTGGCCCCAGGTGTCCCTGGCCAAGGCTGACCCTGGGCGGCAGGACCCTTCATGGAGAGGAGGCTGCTCACCATCCCTCTCCAACCGTCCCTGCAGCTGCCGCTGTCCAGCAGCCACCTGAACGTGTACAGTGGGGACCCCCAGGTCACAGCCTCCCTGGTGGGTGTCACCAGCAGCTCCTGCCCTGCTGACCTGACCCAGAAGCGAGAGCTCACAGGTATCCCCTCCCTGTTCACCCCGCTCCCCACTACCCTCTCTGCCTCTCTGCCCCCTGCCCAACCCTTCTCTCCTCCCCCACTGGCCTCCAGACGCAGAGAGCCGGGCCCTGGCCAAGGAGAGGCAGAAGAAGGACAATCACAATCTAAGTGAGTCCCCCCACCCCATTCCTCCCTCCTCTGCAGGCTGGCTAAAAGCCGCCTACTCACCCCCACCCCCATGAGCAGGGGACCCCCCCAGCCAAGACCAAGCCCTTTGCAGGTACCCACAGTTCTCCCTTCAGCCTGACTCTGGTGGGCCCTCATTGCCCTCTCTCTGCTAGTCCTCTTTAGGAGGGTGGGAGACGGGGCTTCTGGGAAGGGCTAGCAACTCAGAAAGAATGGGTTTATCAGATTGGCTGTTTTTAGGCAGCAAGGGTGTGGAAGCTGCCCCCACCCCTACCCACACAGACCCCGGTGCCCTGCTAACAGCCTGAGCAGGGTCTAACAGTGCCTGTGTCCCGTCCCTACCTGGTAGAAACTCCAGTGGTCTGTGGGCCACCCATCACATCCCAGAGGGCTGGCATTCAGCTGCAGGTTGCCCTGAGGTGGCCCTCATCCAGGTGGGTCCCTCTAATCACCCCTCCTGGACCTGTTCCCTTAGTCGAAAGGAGACGGAGGTTCAACATCAACGACCGCATCAAGGAGCTGGGCATGCTGATCCCCAAGGCCAATGACTTGTGAGCGCTGGGGACTGGGCTGGGGGGAGGGCCCCCTGCCAAGTTAGGCACTAGAGCAGTGGTTCTCAACCTGTGGGGGGGGGTGTCAAAGGATCCTTTCACAGGGGTCGCCTAAGACCATCAACAAGGAACCAAGACACCATTCCTCTATCCGTCTCCAGGCGGGTCCGCCCACATGCAGAGACACCCATGTATGGGGGTCACCCCCACATGAGGAACTGTATTAAAGGGTCGCGGGATTAGGAAGGTTGAGAACCCCTGCGCTAGAGGGTCCTTCCTTGATCATCTATTTGAGAAAGGAAGTCCCTGCTCTCCCTGCCAGCACGGCTCAGGACCGAAGTGACACATGTCCCGGGGGTCCAGGGCCAGGGTGGCCTTGTGGAGGGGAATTTGGTGAGGCTGCTGAGGGATGGCCATGAGTGCCCCGGCTGGGCAGAGGTTTGGGTGGCTTGGATGGCAGGCCTGCTCCATGGGATGAAAGAGGCCACCGGGGGGTGGCAAGGTAGTCACCGGTGGGTGACCGCGCCGGGGGCTGTGGGCAAGGCAGGGTGGGCCTGCCGAGGCTTGGCGGCTGCTCTGACCAGGGCCCCCTCTGGCCGCAGGGACGTGCGCTGGAACAAGGGCACCATCCTCAAGGCGTCGGTGGACTACATCCGGAGGATGCAGAAAGACCTACAGAAGTCGCGGGAGCTGGAGAACCACTCCCGGCGCCTGGAGATGACCAACAAGCAGCTCTGGCTCCGCATCCAGGTCTGAGCCGGGGCACGGCTGCCGAGCAGCGCTGGGAGTGGAGGCTTGGGAAGCGTATGGGGGCCGGGGCTGCCCTTGGTCGGGATGAGTTTTGTGGTCATAAATGACCCCTGTACACAAGCCCCCCTGCTCTGCAAGGCCCTATCTGGGGCCCAGGCTGAGGACAGGCGTTCCAGGGCGGGCTCTTCAAGCTCCCACCAAAAGTGGCATGTCCCTTCTGCTCACTTTTCTTTGGCCAGTGCAGTACAAGGCCACACGTAACCCCAAACCCACTGCCCTCAGTCCATCCTGACTCAGAGCGACTCTGTAGGGCGGGCGGGCTAGAACTGCCTCATAGAGCTTCCAAGGCCGTCAATCTTTACAGAAGCGGGCGGCCTCATCTTTCTGTCTTGGAGCAGCAGGTGGGTTCGAACGCACAACCTTTTGGTTAGCAGCCCGACACTTCACCCAGGGCACCGCCTGACCCTCAAACTCAAAAGAGCCAAACTCACTGCCCTCGAGTCGATGCCGACTCATAGTGACCCTAGAGGACAGGGTAGAACTGCCCCTGTGGGCTTCTGAGACCGTCACTCTTTATGGGAGTGGAGAGCCCCTCTGTCTCCTGAGGAGCGGCTGGTAGTGTCGAACTGCTGACCTGGTGGGTTGCAGCCCAATTTGTGACCAAAGTGCAAATGTATCGAGGGCTTGGTAGGTCAGAGAGCTGGGCCTCTTCAGGCAATAGTACTAAGACCCTCCCTGGAGGGTCAGCCCTCCTCCCTGGAGCCCCAGGTTCTTGTCCTGGCTCTGTGTTGGGTCCCTGCGGGCTGGTCCTCTGTGCCGGGAAGCACGTGGATGCAGCTTCCATGCTTTCCCGACTCTTTCTCGTGGTTGGTCATAGGCTTGACGGGACACCCCAGCCCACACCCTCCCAGCCCAAATCAAAGTTTCCCTTAATAGAGGCAGAGCACTCCGAGAGCCTCCACTCCAGGCCAGTCGGGCACGACTCCCTCAATTAGAACGGGGCGGTGCCTTGGGGCTGAGTGCGTTCACAGCCCACGAATGAGTGGTGGCTTGTAGTCTGCGAAGACTCTCGACTCAGGGTGATCTTGGCGCTCCAGGGGAGAGGGGGAAGGGCTGGGCCAGGGGAAGACTCTGCCCCTGGCGTGTGCCCCCAGCCTGCTGTCTGCCCCCTGCAGGAGCTGGAGATGCAGGCCCGCGTGCATGGCCTCCCGACCGCCTCCCCGTCGGGTGTGAACATGGCCCAGTTGGTCGAGCAGGTGGTGAAGCAGGAGCTGCCCGGCGGCGAGGAGGGCCCGGGAGAGGCTGAGCTGCTGGGGGCCGAGGTCCCTGATCCCGAGCCCCTCCAGGCTCTGCCCCCCCAGGCCCCACTGCCCCCACCAGCCCAGCAGCCCCAGCCCCAGTCCCCCTTCCACCACCTGGACTTCAGCCACAACTTGAGCTTTGGGGGCGGGGGCAACGAGGGGCCCCCGGGCTACTCTGAGCCCCTGGGGCCCGAGCACGGCTCCCCATTCCCCAGCCTGTCCAAGAAGGACCTGGACCTCATGCTCCTCGACGACTCACTGCTCCCACTGGCCTCTGATCCCCTCTTCTCCACCATGTCCCCCGAGGCCTCCAAGGCCAGCAGCCGCCGGAGCAGCTTCAGCATGGAGGAGGGCGATGTGCTGTGACCCTGGTTGTCCCCAGCCGGAGGGGTGCAGGGGCAAGCACGGGAGGTGGGGGGGCCCTGGAGGGTCAGGGCCACCTCCCTCCCTGCAGACTGCACTGTGTGTGAAGTAGCCAGGAGCCCGCCCCAATGGCCCCCTATTTGGACTTAGTGCCCACCTGGCAGCCTGTGGGGTCTGGAGATACCCCTCCCCCAGCTCAGTGCTCCCTAGGGCCACCCTCTGGGAGGGGGTGGGCAGGGGTAGGCCTTCCACCTGACTGCCAACTCAAGAAGGGGAGGGAGGGAGGAGACAGGGTGTGCTGGAGGTAAGAAGAGGTCCTGGGGACACAGCGAGGGGAGGGCCCAGCTTCCTGAGCCTGGCATCCACCTCCCCAGCCCCCGAAGAAGGCTGCGTTGGCACAGGGGTTGGGGAAGTTCCTTTTCTGAGGCAGTGACTGGCCCGGGGTGCCCAGGCGTACCTTTCTGGGACACATATTGCAATAAACCCCTTCCCAGCCCGGTATTCTCCCCTCCCACGGGTGGGGCACCCCACCCCCCTTTGGTGCTAACAGCTCTCCACCAGGCGGTGTGAGGGCAGGGGGGCCTGGACAGACGGTGGGCTGGGCCGGGGTGGAGCGAGGTCTCGGCTGGAAGAGCAGCTCCCCTCCTTCGTGCCTTTAGTAAACACTGTGCTTTGTACCTTGGTCTCCTCTTTGCAGTGGGTCCAAGGCTGGCAGACACTGGGCGCTCAACTCCATGGGCTCCTTTCTGGATTGTGAGTTAGGATTGCCCATGAAGGAAGTTGAGCTGAGGGGATATGGACAAGAGGGGGCAAGCTCAAACCCCCCCCCCACACACCACCACATGCACACATACCCTCCTCCCCCCAGACACTCTGACCCCTGCAAATTCTCAGCCCTGCCCCACTGGGAAACTGGGAGGGGATGGGGCGTTGTCCCTCCTTGTGGCCACCAGATGGTGCTGCAGCCACACTGCTCCCACACTTCCAGCTGTGGCCTGAGCAGTGGGGTTAGATAAGGGGTGGGGGTGGGAGGGTGGGCAGGAAGGTTGCTTATAAATGGACTTGAGGTAGCGGCTTCTCCTGTGACCACCCTGGTTCTTCCCTTCACTGGAGGGAGGTCTGGAGGGAGGTCCAGAGGGAGCTCTGGCCTCTGTGGGCAAGCCCGGCTCCTCTGCTCCCTGACAGTTATTCTTCCTGGTACCTGAGGGGCCATGCCCTCTGGGTCTGAAGAAATGGGGGGAGATGTGGACCACTCTGGCCGCTGCTCCCCGCTCTGGGCTGGGGTGGGGAGGGTAGGTGGGCAGCGAGGCCTTCCCACCAGAGTACCCAGCTTAGTTCCTTCGGCTCCAGAGTTCTGGGAATGCGGCCTCACCCAGGAGAAGGGGACTGGTCTGGGCCGTTGGGTGAGGCCCAGAACTAGAGAACAAGAAAACCCGGTTGCAGGGGTGGGGAGACCATCCCACCTCCTGGGACCCCACGATGTCCCCTAGTCATTTCCAAAGTAGATCACCAACCACCTGGGGCTGGTCTTGAAACGGCCACCTTTCCCTCAGCAGCCCAGCCCGTCGGTGTGCATGGGGTCTTCTTGGGCTTCTCCCACGCCAGGCCCCTTAAGGGCTTTCCAATCTTCACACAGAGGAAGGTAGCTTCCCTGGTCCCCAGGGGCCTTTTGAGCGAGAGCCTTAAGGGGCTTAATTAAAAAAAAAAAAAAATCCCAGGATAAAAATGGCTGCGACGGCAATTTCCTCTGCGCAGACTCAGGGATCACATCAACGATGGAGTAATTAATATTGGGGGGGACAGATGGGAAGCGGGTGGCGTCTGGGTGGGGAAGGCGGCAGGAATGGGCTCGAGGTCACACGGAGCAGCGGGTGACCTTGCAGAGCCGGAGTCTGGGAGGCCCTGCCTCGCTGCCCGCCAGGGTGGCCCACGCACTGGGAGGCCCTTGTCGTCGGGCACAGGCACGCACTGGGCTCTCTGGCTGGGTGCACCGGAGGGGTCCTAGCGGTGCTGCCTTAGCATCTGAGGGTGGGCGACACAGAAGCCGGCCCTCCAGCTGGTGGGGAACTCGCTCCCTACCCGCTGGACGACTCAGGATTCGGGGGTTCCTTTGGGCTTTCCCTTACCTTTTGGGCTCATTCGGTGCAGTGGAGGGCACTGCCCCTGCCTTTCAGGATTCCCGCAACCTGCATTCCACCCTCCAGGGTCCTTCCAACCCGGCCACCGTCCACCTGAAGCTGAGGTAGGCCGGGCCAGGGGCCCACTGGGCAGGACTGAAGGTGCGGGCGAGGGTCTTCCCACAACAGGGGCCCACTGAGCCAGAGCCCGCAGTTGCCTGGAAGCAGCCGCCCTGGGAGGCAGGGCAGGTCATCAGGGAGGGTTCCTGTGTCTGAAACCGGCCTGCGTCGCTCTTCCATGGTGGCAGGGCTGGAGGCCCGCTGTCAGCCGTGGGCTGTGGCCAGGTCTCCCATCCCATAGAAGCGGGAGGCAAAGGCACCCTTCATGCCCATCCTTTATGGGGTGGGCCACACCTTCGCAGACGAGCGATCCAGAGAAGAGCCTGGCTTTTGACAATGGGGAGTGGAAGAGCTGGGCTTGTGTGAAAGCCCGGTGGCCCTGTCCACACACCCCATACCAGGTCAGAGAATGACCACGAGTGTGGAAAGGGAGTGGGGTTGGGGGTCTGGGTGGGGCCAGGAGCTCTAGAGCCCTTGGTCCCATGTGAGCCCCAAAGCTTGAGCCAGGAGATGGGAGGATGCAGACAGCACCCAGTCCCCAAACCCGACACTCTCTGATGCCATTCTTGCATCTGCCTGACTTCACCACCGGCACAGCAGCCTCTAGCCCTTGGGCAGAGCAGGAACCAGGCCCACAGCCTAGACGTGCAGGCGTGTGTGCATGGGCACACGCAGGAAGGGGGTTTCTGCCCCTGCTGTCTTGGTGGACCCCCTGCTGGTGGTCAGACGGTGGCCCTGCTGAGGCTGGCCCAGCGGCAGTGCTGGCTCTCTGATTCTCAGAAGCTAGTTTCTTAGCAGCCTCGGCCAGTCCTGGATGGCCCACCTCCTCCCGTGCGGCTGCCTCCCCGGTGTGTGGAACCCAGCAGAGCCAGAGAGGAAGCCCGGCAGGGGAGACACAGATTACAATGTCCTGCTGGGAGTCGCTCAAGTCTGTCACCCACTGTTGTCTCAGATCAGGGATTCTTCTCTGCCTGGGCCCCCAGCTCCCGGGAGAGGCTGCTACAGACTGTTGGTGGATCGCCTCAGGTGCGTGCACGAAGCTGCCTAAAAGAGGGAGCCCAGAGCTCGGCCTTCCTGCTCCTGTCCACCTCCTGCCCAGCCAGCGTGCTAGCCGCTGGAGCGGCTAGAAAGGGCACCTTGATCACACCCAGCCCCTCACCTCCTGGGACGCCCACCTCTCTGGAAGGGCCTGGCCCCTCCCCCTCCCTCAGACTCCTCCAGCCTCATCTTTTTTCTTTGCCTCATCTTTTCCAAGGGGGCAGTGGAATTTATACAATATTTAAGCAGCCAGAGCCGAGTCCGGGAAGATATTATTAATGTAAAAGGGACGGGCTGCAAATGCTTTTGGACCTGGTTACAATTAGAGGGTGATTTTTCTAAAGGTCAATGAATTCAGATAATATCCACAGGGGGGAGAGAAATTTAATACCTTTTTAGTGAATTAATTAATTATAATATTATATCGGCTTGGGGTTCTTTTCCAGAGTGATTAAGGGAGCGATCCGTCTTCTGTGAGGCTGGGGAGCGGCAGTGGTGGGAGCCTGCTGCCTGCAAGGACCCTGTCTCAGGCTCCAGATGGGGGGCCCTTCCCTCTCCTCTCACCCCTGCGGTGGCTGCGGAACAGGCAGGACTCAGGGGGCTGAGGCTGGTGCGGTGATTGGCAGTTCCCTTTCCCCTCAGCTTGTGCCCAGTTAGCCCCCTGACCCCTGATGGCTGGTCCTCTCCTGCTGCCTGGTCGCTGAGCCTCTCCCGGGAACCTGAGGGGCCTCCCTTAGCTTTTAGGTTATGCCCTCTTCCTCTACCTGTGGGGAAACTGAGCCTTCCGCCCCTGGGCTGCAGGGACTTGCCCTTAGTCCTGCTGGTGGGACCGAACTAGGGTGTCCGAGCTAACTGAAAGCAACAAGAAGACTTCCCCCCCTCCCTCACCAGGCTTTCTGGAAACTCCCCCTCTCACCAGAGACCTGTGGGGTCGTCTGTGGCCTTCTCTCCCCTTAAGAGAGTTTAGAGGGTGGCGGGGGTGGGGGTGGATGGTGTTCTGTGCTGCTGGGGAAACCTCCCAGGAGTGCGCCTAGTGCAGTGGCAGTAAGGGGTGGTGAGGGGATCAGTAGAGGGGACGTGGACACACCCAGGAGGGTGCTTTTCACCCGTCTGTTCGTTCGTTCATTCATTCATTCATTCATTCATTCATTCATTCATTCAGTGAGCGTTTGTGGCACACCCAGGCCTTGGCCAGAGGTCCTTGTGCTGGTTAGTGGCCAACAAGTCAGTTCCGACTCACGCTGACATCGCGGGCGCAGTGTGAGATTGTGCTCCGTAGGGTTGGCAAGGCTCTGAGCTTGCAGAGGCTAGTCACCAGCCTCTTCTTCTTCTAAGGGACCCCTGGAGGGGTTCAAACCACCCACCTTTCAGGTCGTCATTGAGCATGTGATTCTTTGTACCCACACAGACAGACATACCCCTTCTTTAGCCCCACCCACTTCTGGGGCCCCAGCTGCTCATCTGAACAGTATTGTTGGGGGCGGGGGTGAGGTGCATGCAGACCTCTGGGATCCCTTACTGTCCCAGCAACTGGCCTTCCTCAGCCTGAAGGCAGGGGGACTGGCTGGGATGTATCTATCACTCATTCATTCAGCAAACCTGGTCCCACCCGAGGGCTCGGGCATGCTGATGGGAAGACAGGAGGTACCAGGAGGCTGCAGGCTCTGGGTTCAGGAAAGCAAACAAGCCAATCAGGCCTACCACAGCTCCCTGTGCCAGCCTCCCTGTGCCTCAGTTTCTCCATCTGTAAAGGGGGGTTATAATACACATCCCCCAAAGTGGTGGTGGTGGTGGCGGCGGCTAGTTCTGACTCATTCACGGCCATCCTGTGCCCAACAGAATGAAACACTGCCCTGTCCCAGGCCATCCTCACAGTCACTAGTGTTTTTGAGCCCCTTGTCAAAGCCACTGTGCCCACCCACCTCCTGGACAGTCTCTTTCCTTCCCACTGACCGTCTCCCAAGCACGGTGCCCTTCCTGGTAACACGTCCAAAGGGCGTGAGATTTCATCTTGTCCCCCTTTGCTTCCAAGGAGCGTTCTGGCTGCACTTCTTCCAAGACGGACTGGTGGGTCCTGGAAATCCATGATATGGTCAGGATGCTTCAGTAACTCCATTGCACTCCCAAGGTTGTGGGGGTGCCCCTGATTCTCTTTCTGTGCCCCCAAGTGGGTGCCAGCAGAGACCCCAGCCTGGGGCACCTTCCGTCTTCCCCGCTCCTGGCCTCCAGGCCTCGTCGCTCTCAGTGCCCCTCTCTGGCTGCCCCCATCTCCAGCGAACAACCCCCGCCCACCTCCCCTTCCCCTCCGTGGGCGGCAGGCGGGGAGGGCCTCCCATTGTGCTATCTTTGGGCCCTCAATTAAAATTGATGCCATCTTGAAATGAGCAGTACGGGTAATTTTG